TAAGAACGCCTGAACGAACAAATTAAAGGAAGCCTTGTATTTTTTAGGTCGGGTGTGTTCATGCCATTACTAAGTTTAAGTTAAATTTCAATAGTTTTTGTCCAGGCACCCGTCGTTCAACGGCACTCCCTACTATATCTTATACCATCTAACTAATAACTTTGGCTGGGTTAGTATGTCGAAATTTCGAGTTAGTATGTCGAAATTTCGAGTTACTAAGTCGAAATTTCGAGTTAGTAAGTCGAAATTTCGAGTTAGTAACTCGAAATTTCGAGATAAGTAACTCGAAATTTCGAGTTAGTAAGTCGAAATTTCGAGTTAGTAAGTAAGTAACTCGAAATTTCGAGTAAGAAAGTCGAAATTTCGAGTTAGTAAGTTAAAATTTCGAGTTAGTAAGTCGAAATTTCGAGTTAGTAAGTCGAAATTTCGAGTCAGTCACTCGAAATTTCGAGTTAATAAAAAGCATACACCTGGCACTAATGCTCTTCCGTATTTGTGGCATAATTGTACGAACACTTCTATAGTTGAAAAACTCTTTATTAATACTTGTAAATGTCAAAACATAAGATCCTAATTAAAACGTGTTTTTTAAAGTATGTATTTCTTTCACATGTATATTTTACTAATCATAAGAATCTTTTGACCTTTATGAGTTCCTGAAATTTAAAATTTTAAACTTCAAGCTTTCAAACCGGGGATATGCCTATTTAATTTCTAATTTAATGAATATATATCAGTCGCATTTGAATAAGAACATAAAGACACAGTGTTGTGTATTGACGATTTACCTGATTGGTCTAGAATGCGTCTTGCCTCTTCCATAAGATCCTGTACATTTTGTCTCTTCTTAGTTGGCTTACCTGAAAATGTTGAAATAAATACTGTATGGTATATCCAAAAGAACTAATTTTGATTTGAAGTAGAAAATGACTGCAAAAGTGTCGTTAAACATTTGAAATTGACCAGTACTTTTATATATCTTGTTTATATACTGATGTAAAAAAATATATATACAGAGTCAAAAGATTTACTATATCAATACATTTAATATCTAGTTTATTTTTTATCGAACAAATGTACTAAATTGTAATAGATTTTACCCCTAAATATTTATGTATATATAATAATATATATATAAAAAATAATATGCTTTATATAGAATTAAAAAAAATATTATTGAAAAGATATGAAGAGCTTGTAAGGTGTCACCAATCTATCGTACCGTTACCTGCTACTTTTCTTACAAGAAGGCAATCATAGCTATTTGTCGCTCACCTGTGATACATTGTTGGAAAATATGCCAAAAAATTTCATACAAGATGAGTATTTTTATATTTATGTGACCCCAAAAAAGGTTGACGACAACAAACTTAAAAATCCTAGCTTTAAGCATTTAATTGTCTGTGGGGAGAAGATTTAAAGACTTTTTTAACACAGATGACCCCTTACCAACTTTGACTCAAAGGGTAGGAATTTATGTTACTACTTTTACAACAAGACATACCAGACACAAGTTATCTAAGGTTTGTGCATCTTTGTGTATATAAGAAGCAGATATTATTTTACAAAAAAGATTTTATCTTTCATTTATTTATCTCCTGTGACAGACACATGTGCCAGTCAAGAAACACTCGTATAACATATATTGAAGAACATCTCGCATTCTGAAGATTGGTCAAAATTCACCTTGTCAAGTTGTGATTTGAGAGATAAAGGAAATAAACGATTCCCCCCAATGACAAAAACGGCAAACGACGCATCATACATCACAAAACCTCCTATCTGAGCACTTTGTGCACAGGTGAGCTTAAACGGTTCGTAGGATAAAAAAGAAAACCAAAAAGGAGAAAGAAGTATTAAAGGTAGATAATAAGAAATAAACTAATGTTTAAACTTTGTCAGAAGTTCTCTCCCTTGAATTATAATAACCTATTTCAACAAGCATAATGCATTATCAATAAAAGGTTTGTTCTGCTTTTCTTTTGCTTTAAACAACATATGTATAAAATTTCATCATGTGTGCATGTACGGTAGATGAAACAATAATACTAAGAGATCATTTTAAATATACCATTTTACGATATTATCTATCTATAATTAATATAGATCTCTAATTAGAGGCCAATCAGTTGACTGTATACTTAAGAAAACCAGATAATGTATTAATCTCCAAGTTAAGAAGTAAGATTTAATTCTGGGAGTGAGTGTGTGACAATTGTTTTACTCTTAAGCAATTTAAAAATTGTTCTCTATTTAACTATAAAGTAGTAAAATGTTAGTACGCCATCAAGTTTATCGTTTTTTAAAAATATTGGTCAGCTAATACTAGAATTAATATAACTCTATAGGGCCATTTATAAAATCAATACATACTAATAATCTCAAAGTTAGTAAACTCCAAAAACACAAAGCAAAGAAACGATAAAACAATCAACTCAACTTGATAGAATTTGAACTTTAAAAAATGTATCTACACGATGCTTAAAGATCCTGCAACACAATTTTTATGATTTTAAATCATAAATATGGATGCTCAATTGAGATTGATCAATATTTGTAGGTTCCAAAAAATCATTATTTATAAAGATATTACCGAATGTAATTTTCATGTAAATAAAGGAAGTAATAAAAAGATTATTTTCTATAAAGTTTAAGTCAAAATTTTACAATAAGAAATGAATGCATATGTTTTAATGATTACATATAATATGCCACAAATATTTGCAGTACATATTTTTACAAATTCTTCGATGTTTGAAAATTTGCATAATTATGAACATATATATAATTTCACTTAATGTCGTTTACCCACTTTTGAGATCTGTAATAGGTCAATTAAATTATGTTTTTCACTCGATCAAGTTTAATAAGGATGAATATGGAAATATTTTCTATTGTAATCTTATGGTGGCACTTAGTGACAAGTGTGCGTTTTTATATATCTCGTGCGCACGAGATTACTAATGTCGTGGCCACGAGTAACTTAGTCGTGCACACAAATTAATTAAGTGGTGCGGCACGAAATTTTTTCTAATTCAAATAGACTTGCAGTATTCCCCAAATTAAAATTCTAATAGATTTACTTTGGTAAATTGGCTAATTAAATCAGTCTAGTAAATCGACAGTTTTAATTAAAAAACACTAATTGCTTAGTGTTTTAAATTAGTAAGCATAAACTACATTAAATTGGTCGACCAACCCTAAGTTGAACCAACTTTAATTTTGTATGTATTAAATGCTTAGTAAGAAAATACTAAACCGATACCTAAATTTCCATAGAAACTTTTCAGTTAAAAATTATTCAAAACAGGGGCCAGTTAAAAATTAAAGCGGTTAGTTCAAAGTAAAGCTTACACCCAAGATTCTAGCCTAAGAGTTAAAAGGTAAATCTCCGATAATATAAGAGTCTTCTTGTTCTTATTTCAGGCTATTATTTTAATGGTATTAATACAAGTCACTAAAATTTTCTTTAATAGCATCACATCAACATTAAAAGCCAAAGTAACAATATAAAAACGTTGCCTTTCAAAAGTAAGCGTGGTATTTAGCCATTTGAGCTGCGTCAGACAAAAACCAAAACGAAATGGGTTTTTGCGACCAGCATGGATCCAGACCAGCCTGCGCATCCCGCGCAGTCTGATCAGGATTCCATGCTGTTTCGCTATCAGTTTCAATCTACTTGCTATAGGGTTTGTAAGCGAACAGCATGGATCCTGATCAGACTGCGCGAATGCGGCAGGCTGGTCTGGATCCATGCCTGGTCGCAACCCATTCCGTTGGTTTTGTCGTGATGCGGCTCAAAAGTAATAATTGAAATACGAAGAGTACCAAGACCAACGATCAAACGCCACGGACATGCCGGTTGAATCAGATCTTGGTCTGCACTGGTCACTAAGGTATATCGACATGCTAAGTGTTAATAGCTCTACTCACATAACCAAAGTCCAAAGAGAGGCACAATAAGAAAGAAAATATGAAAATATTAATCAAACAAACCTGGCGTAGTAACCTCCATATCTGATATATAAATAAGTATATAATAAATATATATTGCTTATTTTTTCTAGAAAACCCAAAATGACGTGTGTTTGTTATATTACGCAATAAAATATCTGACAATATAAATTTCTTTTAATAAATAATAATAATAATAACAATAGCATGCGTTGTTTTTTGTATAGCGCCTTGTTGAACCCCAATTTAAAAAAAAATCCGGTTCAATACAGCTTTACGTAACTGCAAAAAAAGCGCAGGCTGGCTTGGTCATTTACTGTTGGCAAAGTGTAATCACTTCCGCTTGCAGCAGGTTACATGTTAAATTGCCAAAAATAAAAAAGAGTTTAAAAAGTTCATTGAATAACTTGATTATTTTTCCTATTTTAAAGACCTGATATTCAAAATGAATAAAGGAGAATAAGATAATATTTACCGTTCTCATCTTCAGTGTCTAGATACACAGTGTCGAAACCTTCAAACTTCAAGGGTTTACCCCCTACTTTTGGAACTGGACCAGCGTTGTATTTAAATATGGATGCGTATTTCTTTTGATTAGTTTTTTGCATGCGTCTTGGGTAAAAACAAATCGGGCTTTCTTTTTGAATTCGCTTTTTGAACAGGCGTAAGGGTTCCTACTACGGCCATCATGAAGGTGATTTGGTAACCCATATTCCTCTCGATTACTAATTTCCTGCTTCAACAACTTTTGACGTCACGTATTGCGTCATAAACCGTTCTCCATGCATCGTCCTCGAATTTACGTCTTACGCGTCTCAACTGCTCTCTTTGTCTATATTTGGCTTCTAACTGTCTTCGTTCACGTTCCGCGAGCATCTCGTAACGATGCTGCATATCTTCAATTTGAATTTGGGCAAGTTTTTCGTAGAATTGTTTTTCGCGAGCGTCTCGTGGCGAACTGTCATACACTTTATTGATATGTCTATAAACCTTTCCTTGCAACTGACTTAACATAAAAACTTTTTCTTTTAGCCGGGGAACGGTAGTTACTTTTTTATACACACTGTATCTCTTTGATTTTGGACGTTTCCGGACTTTAATCGTCCAGATTGCCAGTTTACGGTGTCAATGCCTGTATATGCATGGTGAATCATCTTTTGCTCATTGACCTTTGGATGAAAGGTCAATTCTCTTATTTGGTCAGGTTTCATGTGTAATGTTTCCTGAAAATAATTTATCTTTTCTTCGTCCGTCATATCTTTAAAGTCTTTATGGTGCTTAATTTGGTTATGACTAAATTCATATTCATGCATGAACGGTTCGCCGTCATCATCACCACTTTGATTCATTCTCCGGACATATTTTGGATCAACTATAGTTACTTCGCGACGCTTTTTGTCACTATTTGCTATTGAGGAATTTTGAGAGAACTCGACAGTGGTTCTTGACTTTACGGGGCCTGAGGGCTGACTACTTTGGGTGTTTTTTGTTTTAATTGTAACCCAAGATTTATCGGTTTTGGAACTTTTTTCTGACGGAACTCGAGGAGAATTTTCAACAACGTTCTGACCGCCTAAGGCTTTTTGAGTCTCTGATGCATAGTAATTAAAATTCGGATCATTCTTGGACGCTCCGGTGACGGATGGCTTTGCGTCATTGGCCGGCTTCGGACTCGGGTATGCCGGTCCATGATCATCCGCCGGAAGTTTATGTTTTCCGTCCCTGGAAAAAAAAATTGTTTATATATGTTTTTCGAGTTTATATTAAGTATGTGGCTTATTTCTTTGACACTTTAATGCTTTTATATAAATCATTTATAAATATATATAAGCACTCGCCACGAATGGCCCTAACAAGTCCTCTATCGTTAACTGATATCAATATTTTTAATTTGCGAAAAGAAACAATTCAAAATATTCGGAATGTTTTGGTAACTTATGGTTTGAAGTAAAAACATCAGACACACATGTAAATAGGTTTTTCGAAAATTTGTTAACAGTTTTCATGAAAACTATTTCTCGACCAATTTCTGTGATTACTTTTTGTCGATCGATTTCGTGATTACAATTTGTCGATAATTTTCGTGATTTATGTGACATATGCAGTCGAAATGTGTTACTATAGGTATTATATTCAACCCGTGACATCATGGAGGTACAGCAGTTTCATTAATTTTAGTCATCATAAATTTCTCTACAAAATTGTTTGACGAATATAGAAGGCTAAATACTGGCACGAGTCCGATAGCGGACAAGTACCGTGAGGGAAAGTTGAAAAGAACTATCTTACTTTAACTTTGTTGGACTTCCTTCAGAACGATTCTGACTTGTTGGTACTGTGTTCTTAGTAATCCTGCAAAATAGTAAAAGTTCATGATACATGTATATATTTGTGAAATATAATAATACTGTCTCAGAAATATAACAATTTAAATTCATAATCTTTTTTAAACTCTCATACTATGACAACTTCAGAAATATAATGTTTAAGTTCATTGTCTTTGAACCCTCTCGGAATGTTATGTCTATATTTTTATTTGCAACAAATATGCTACAATATCAAAGGTTATTATTTAGAAATAATTATCAATTTCATAGTCATGAACTCTTTAACATTGGCTTTTAATTTTTTGTAGCCGATAACTCCTACTGAGAACGATTAAAATAATAATATTAGTTGCTTCCCTTTACATAACGTTAAGTTGAAAATATGAAAACATTTAACCAAAACTTCAAAGACGCTCATATTTTTTCGTTGACTACATGTCAAAATAACTTGTACGAAAAGTAAAACCCTTCAAGATTCAAGTTATAATTAACATGTTATGTTCAATTAATTATAGTAACTGATTTTGCAATAACTGTTCACCATATTTCTACTGCGTAACTAAGCAGTTAGGGGCATTTTTACATATTTGGACTTCTTTCTTATAGTTTAAGTGTATTGTAAGTGCTACTTACAATGTGTAATTTTTTTTTCTTTGTTCATTTCACAATATTTTACCTTAAAATTCATTTTCAAAATTTTCGTGAAATTAAGCATGAATCCGGAGACATGCTGCTTTAAAGATGTGAAGATCTGGCTTTAATATTTGAGCCGCGTCACGACAAAACCAACATAGTGCGTTTGCGACAAGCATTGATCAAGACTAGCCTACGCATCCGCGCAGTCTGATCAGGATAACAAGTAGAGAAACTGATAGCGAACAGCATGGATCCTGATCAGACTGCGCGGATGCGCAGGCTGGTCTGGATCCCTGCTGGTCGCAAACGCACTATATTGGTTTTGTCGTGACGCTGAATTAAAAGTTTATACTGACCTGACAGTATCTTCGTCTTTGGTCGTACGTCCGGCAACACCTGAAAATCGAACGCTCATAGATTCAATCTCTTCTTCAATTTTAATAACATCATTAAATATTTCCATAGACATATTGGACATCCGGCCAGCACTCATCGTATGGTGTAATCCCCCGAACGGTTTCCTAAATCTGACTTTATTTACGTTATATCCAACCCTCCTACCGGAATCGGTGCCGTGCTTGTTACCTTTATCCATTTTAATTAGTAAAATAGTATTTTTATCAAGTTATTTTTTTCACTTAGTAAGCTAACAACTCGATTAGCGTCTTAAAGCCTCCGAATAGGAATATGGCGCTGATACACTGTGGAAATGATTCTTTAAATCAAGTAGTGAAATTAAAAAACTCATATACGTTTTACAAGTAAGGAATAATCACTATTCACTATTAAACCACAATATATTTCTTCTTCGTCATCTTTTAATCCATGTTTCGTTATCCTCAATTAATCAAGTAAATAAACAAACAAACTAATTTACGCGAATGTTGTATTTTAGAAAAGCCTAAAAAAATATGTTATATCCAAATGAGTACAAAAAGATTTTGATTCCAGTTCACAACTGTTATTTCGATACAGCTTCAAACATAAAGGACCTTGCAATATCGCTAATATGCACAAATGATAATAAAATTGTTTACATTGCTATGTTTTTAAATATTTCAAAATGATATCAAACATCCGAATCTGTCATGCGAACGACGTGTTTATTCTTTATAACGCGCGACATCTATAAAACTAAAGTAAAGTTAATCGTTCATCTTAAAATAACTCCTTTGTCAACTAAGATCAAATTAGTTCATTTTAATTTAAAATAATTTAGAGATATCTGTAGACTGATTATCATTTACACTGCTATTAATCTATAACACACAATATAATGTAAATAAACAAAAAATTGTTTGCTCAAATATTCGAAAACAAGTTAAAACTAAACTTAGAGAACTGCGTTGTATTTATAGAAATTTGAGCTCCGCTATGTGACAAAAATACGTTTAACATTGCTATTATTGAACTATTATCATCGGAAGACCATGGTTACAGTATAAAAGAAAATTACACTCGCTGGATAATTAAAATTACTAAATAATGAATTTACATTGAAGAATAAAAAGGAAGGACACTTTTAAAATATCAATTATAGAGATAAAGGTTGTTTTTGTAATTACCCCAGTTCGGCTCAACTGACTGTCAGTTAAGATAAACATGAACAGGCACTCAATGAAAAGAGAGGGACATTCCGTTAGAAAGTATCTGTTTGTGTTTGTTTGTTTCTTTTTTTTTTGTTTTTTTTTTGTTTAAATGATTGATTGATATATTGATTGATATATTGATTGGTTGATTGATTGATTGATTGATTGATTTCAAGTCACATCGACACTGTTAAAGTCATACGGTGACTTTCTATGCTTTACTGGCGGAGGATGACCTCAGGTACCCTTAAGGTACTCCCGTGCATTATTTCAGGCATGAGTAGATACACCGACTTTTTGTAAGTTAGAAGCATTAAAAAAATCAAAAGTACCTTACGGGGTTTCGAACCCAAAGCGGTCAGGGTCAAATGATTTGAAGTTTGTGATCTAAAGGTGGATTGGTCTACAATGCGAACATTTTCCATAAGAATTTCAAATATTTATAAAGACAATATAAATTTACCATTTGGATATTCTGTCGACTTTCCAGCTTTACTGGTGAAGGTGGACCCCAGGTGCTCTTAAAGATGCCCCCCCCCCCCATTAACAAGTGTGAGGTTGAAAACGTCAGTGAGTGCTTAATGAGGGTTCATCCGCCCTTTCCTGCAAAGAAGCAGCTTTCCCTGTCGAGTACGGACCGCGAACATGTCATATTATAAGTTTTCTTTCGTTCTATTCCCTTTCAATTTATGTAATCATTTAATACATATGAAATGTAAAATATGTAAAGTAAAGTATGTAAAGTATTAAATGAATATGTTTAAACTAACGTGTAACTAGTCATGCCCTTTAAGTATAAAGCGGTCATAATTTAACTTCATGCAATTTCCACAGATTATTAGTCAAAGATGTGATTTTGAGTCAAATTAGATCACTGTACGGCGGCAAATGAGAACCTTAATGTACAATAACCTGAGACTATATGAGAAGGAAGTAGCCGTGAATAGGGCTGTTATCCCAGCAAAGGATCTGCCTTTCAAGCCGTCATTCTGTAAGTTTACTTAATAATCTTATAACAAAACAGAAGTTTCTAAATTCATTACCTGTTACTTTTGTCTCCGAACGACGAGTATCCTTCTGTTTTTCAATGTCTGTCTTCACCGCAGATTCCGCCGGTTTATTTTCTGGCACTACTTTTCTCGGACTGATAATAGGGTCCTTAGGTTTTGTTGGCGACACTGTTGGTTCCGTTGATTTTGCCGGCGAAACGGATGTCGTATTAGATTTACTGGTACCAGGCTGGAAAGTGTTTGATGCGCTTGCTTTACTATCATTTGGTACCAGAGTGTTTATTTTCGGCATTGGTCCGTCCATTTTACCTTGGTCTTTAGATGGAGCTGAGATCACCGGGCGTTCTTCAGTCTCTGAAACTGCAACCATGCAAAAATATTCAATCGTTCAACTTGTTGTAAACTATAAGTGGAACTGTCTACAAGTACATATATAAACTTGACATGCTAGAGTTTGAGATAATACTGTGAATTCACTTAATTTCTTGGGTTTGAGATTTCGTGACTTGGATTCAAAAGGCATTTTTTTGTTTCTTAAATTCTTGTCTATGTTTGAAAAAATGTAAAATGCAAATAAAGAAATGCTTACAGCGGCCGAAATGAAATTTCTTTCGACCTAAAAGGTCAACCGACGAAAACTACGAAAATGAGTGACCCGTGAAAAAAAAGCCTATACGGCTATATCACATTCTTACGTATATATAAATCTACAAAAAAAAAACTTTTTTCCATCATATTGTACATTTAACCAAATCAACCCCATAAAGATAATGAAGGAAGTTAAACGAAAGCTATTATCACTAGAATAATATACCTAAATAGCTCCTTTGGTCCAGTTCTTTTACTTTGGGCTCATTTACTTAAATGGATTTCATATTAGTTACGAAATCTAATAACAGAGTTGGTGATATAACGAAGACTAGACCTATTAATGTAAAGCCCCCTTTCACTATCTAAATAATTTAAAAATGTTGATTAATGAATAAACCGTACTTAGAAGACTAGAATTTTCATACTGACGTCTACTGAATTATAAAGTAATTCAAAATTATATGAGCCGTGTCATGACAAAACCAACATAATGCGTTTGCGACCAGCATGGATCCAGACCAGCCTGCGCATCCGCGCAGCCTGATCAGGGTCCATGCTGTTCGCTTAAAAACCCTATTACAAGTAGAGAAACTGATAGCGAACAGCATGGATCCTGATCAGACTGCGCGGAGGACTATGTTGGTTTTGTCATGACGCGACTCATATGTACTTGTATTCTAGCATTTTTACCTAAAATTATTTCCATTTGGGAGGGAGAGGGGTTGAATAAGAAAAAGAATATTTTGATATCAGTGACGGGTTATGTGCAATTGAACAATTAGTACAATTCTAAAATGAGGAATTAGAGCCCAAAACCTCTTCTAAATACAAAAATGTGACAAACTTTACTTCATATTATACCAAGATGATTAGCTCCTCCGTAGAAAATTTGTAAACTGATTAAATTGGTGGTTTTTCGTATTTACAGACAAAATATGCTTGCAAAAAAAATATCTTTATTAAATATCTATACTTTCATTGTTGTAATGGAAAGTGCAAAATCGAATATTTAGATATTTGTGAGTCTATAAACCTATATTTGAAGTCTATGATTTAATATTGAATTTGGTACTCTTTAACCCTTAATCTGCTGGAACGGACGGGTATAATCCTCGGCCACAAATATAAAGGCCGGCCAGCCTGCAGAGCATGCAGTCTGATAAGACGCTACACAGTTGGCTCACCGACTAGATGTCCCCAAATTCTATAAATGGACCCCCCCCCCCCAAAAAAAAAAGGAAGCTCGAAAAGTCCATTCGTGAAATTCAGAAGGATTAGGATTTCATCAGGTCGCATTGATTTTGAATACGTTAACTGAAATTTGATTTCAAACACGTGCGTGTATCTTTAAACCATTTCTTTATTTCCCTGTCTATAAGTCACTTAAAGTCTCTATTAAAGTTCTTCCTGGTAGATTTAACGTTAAGAAAGAATGAAATTATTTTCTGTTTATTCAAATCATTTTCTATTGAATATTTGCCCTTCTTTATTCTTGTAATTATTTTTTGTATTTCGTAAAACTATTTGCGCTCGTCAACGCGCTATTTACATTTTATCAAGTGCTATTTATACCTAACAATTTCCCCCCGATAAATTATTGACTTTGGGTATAGACCATATATTGAAAATTAAAGTATAATTACATTTTATGTCGATCACACAAGATATAATGAAAAAGAACACGGTTATTTTTGTGACAAATTTAAAGAAGTTTTATCTATATTTCAAAATGTATATCAAGTTGAGGTCGTCAAAAGTCAGAATTGTGGTAACAAAAATGAAAGTCAGCGCTGGATAGAAAGTTGGCACACCGTGGTATAGTTAATTATATATCCTTCGTATGCTTAAGAAATACAAAAAACGAAGAATGAAAGTACTTGGTTTGTATTGAAATATAACAATAATGAAATTATAAATTTTAAGATTATTAAAATCAATTCAGTTCCTGATATAAGCATAAACAGTGTTGAACTTCATTTTAGACAGATACAAATTCGAAAAGTACATGCACAGTCCTACCACTGTTACAGATTAATGTGTATGAAAACGTCAAAAATTGTGGCTTAAAACTTTCGTTAACCACTTTCTATTTTGTAATCTTTTGATTTTTTTGTTCTGTCAACTAATTCCCCCATCCCCTTAATGCTCATGTTAACAATTTATTAAATCATTCTATGTTATGCGCGTCAAAGTAAAAGTCCTTGACCTAGAAATGCAGATAATATCCAAAAAGATCTCAGTTTGAATTCGTGAAGTTCAAATCGCGAATTCACGTGATGTATTCGTGAAGTTCAAATCGTGAAATCATGAACTTCAAATTAAAATCGTGAATTTGTGAAGTTGAACTAGTAAAATCGTGAAGTCACGAAGGTGAAAATTTTCAATTCACGAAGATGAATGAGGGAATACACTAAGTTAAAATGTCCCCATTGCTTTTTCGTACATAGCACATTGACTGAGCAGTAAATCTGTCAATTCATTTGTAAACATTTTCATGCATAATTAACTTATTGACCAGTTACAGACAGACTGAAGGGTGAACGGACATAAAAAACAAGCGCACCATTGACTTTCTTTTTTTAAACAGGTGCTAAAATAAACAGATATAAAAAGATTGCATGTTTAAGGGCATCATGAAATATGTTTACCTTTATTTAAAATTTTTTGTGCTCCCCCAAAACCACATTTAAAAATTTTAAAAAACTTACATTTTTAGAAAGAAAATCTTCATGGGAATTTTTTGTATTTAGAATTCCCCCATTATAAGATTGACAAAATATTGAATGATGATTAATACGGCTTATCATTATCAGTGCCTTTGATTTCCCAAAAATCAACATTGAAATATGTCAATGATTCATTTTTGTGTTTTACCCCGAGGGATCCCAACGATCATAGCAAAAAAAAACAAATAAAAAGACCCAAAAAAACCCCCAACAAATCCTTCCTTTAAATCATGTGTTTTATCTGAAATTGCCTTTACTTTCGGTTTTGTAGTAAGTTTAGCTTTCATAATTAAGTTCATTCAGAGCTATTACCATGTTTTTCTATTTATTGTTTGACATGGGAATAAATCGTTTTGATTCGTGTGTTTGTTAGGGGTCGGGGGCGGTGGCATAGAACGGCTTTTTCAAAAAAGTGTGACCCATCATATGTATGTGTGACGAATGTGTACGCAATTTGTACGCATTATCTTCTCGAACGTATGTCTGTACAGCCCCACTTAAAGGTTTCATTCTCATATCGTGGCTGTTTTACTATTCATTTACATTGAGGTACATTTCACTTTAGAGCAAATACCTTTACAGATGTATTTGTAAGCCGGGTTTAACTCTGACATACCAGTAGAATTTAGTAGTAAATTGACTAAATTCCACATACTTTACTTTAATACAGAAAGAAAACTACGCCCGTGTTATAATCCAAATACCAATATAAAATAATGAAATGCCAGTGTCTAATGCAGGTATTCTAAAATGTCTTAAAATTACCTCTTTTTCTCCGCCTTCCTGTAAAAATTGTCACGGACCAAATTAGAATTGTAATGCTAAATTTACATGTGGGAACGAGATAGCTATGTCGCGGGAACAAGATATTAACTCGTTCCTACGACACAGCAAGCTCGTTCCTTTCAAAACGGGACGAATGTTGTTTCAAATAACATGTTACTGTGAATTTAAATTATATCACGTGAATGAAATTCCGTAGTTTTGTCAAAATAAACATTATGTGGACTATGTTTAAGACAATACATTTGTGGAATGACCTGTGCACGAAAAGTACGAAAATTATTGTCCTGGGAAAAAATGATATCGTTGTACTCTTTTGATAATATAATTATATTATTACTTTTTATATATTTGTATATTGTTTGAGTCCTTAGTTTGATAGTGATGAAACCTTAGAGCTTTTTTGAAACCCCTCCAGTCTGCTTCCTGCAAATGACAGGTGCTGATACAAAATGAGAGCACAATGCTTGTTACAGAGTATATCTTGCGACCAAGATCACTGGTTTGAGAGACAACTACCATAACAACTAGGTCAACTTTCTTCAAATGCATTTGAAAAAGAATATTCGTAAAAAGGACATTTGAGAAAATGATGTGAGCAGGTACAGAATTCTTACCATGAGATTCTTTTTTCGAAGGAAGTGACTGGAGTCGTCTCCCTTTATCTGCTGCTTTTGGTCGGCCATCTTGTTTGTCTTGGTTCATGAACTGTGCATGTTTGGCACGCGCTGTGTCGGTCTGAAACTTCCCTCGACGGGGATCAATTGGTTGACCTCTGAGGACCTTATCATTGTCTATTGACCTGAAAAAACAAGTAATATAAGGTAATGATCACATCTTTTATACGTATTGAAAGCAGTATAATTGAACAATAATAAAGAATGACGACATTGTTTTCTAACTTTGTTTGAAATATTTTACGTATACATGTTATATATTACTGAGACAACTGGCTATGTACATTGTCCGATTTTAGTTTTCGACTATTTATAATTACAAATCATACTCGTTGACCGGTATATTGAATTTCATAACAGGCTTGCATTCTTAATATCGCATAATTCCCGCAAAATATAGATAATACCTGAAAAAATAATACAGATTAAAGTTCTGCAAAATATCACTATAATTTTGTCCGTAAAACCTTTTTTGACCGATTTTTGTGGTTTGCATTTATCATATACTATTTATCGAGTCCGCAGTATAATTTTGAAAATGAAAAATGATGCTTTTCTATCGCTTTAATGAAGTGTTAAATCCCAAGACGGACTTCCATAGCAAAATCAAACATTGAATGAAAAAATCAAAATGCCGGTTTCGGCAACAATCACTTCTTTTCGTATTCCCCAAGAAGACATGTTTTTTAAATTATATTAATTTAATACATACTGTATTTTAAAACAATATACAAGAACACCCCTTTTTTTCATTTTAATTAAAAAGAATTAAAATAGTAAATTATTAAATACTGTTTTCGACACCATCATAACAAGGTCAACTTCTACAAAAAGCATATCAAGTTGTATAATGTATTTGTTTAAGCTCTTTCAAATCGTTTAAATTAACTGTCAGATAAAATCGAATATTTCAAAGTTTTGGCATCGGAATTATTATTTAGTTATAATTATGATAATATTGATGCCACGCAATCATGAAAAGAACCCCGACAGGTTTGAACCACCATTTGTAATGACATTATATTATAATGCACACACCGTTTATTTATCTATAGTGAAAATAAAATCAATCAGTTAAAAACTGTTGATTTCTTAACAGTATGAATTTCTTTTCGAAACTATTAAAGCCACAAACTAACTGTAAGCCTAATACATGTATATACTACAAATTTTTGCGTCAAAATAAGATCACAATAGAGAATTTACAGCTACATACATCTATTTCAAACTTAATTGAGACTACACTTAAATGTTTAATGAGAAGCATTATATTGTGGCATATATAAAGAGAATGCAAAATATAGCAAAAAAACTTGATAAGTTACACACAAAAAAATACTTCATCGTGCCCCGACATGTTCAGACACAATTTACATAAAAAGATCAGCTTAAACATGCCAACTTTAACATGCCAAGTCACAATATACATAAAATGATAAACTTTAACATGCCAAGTCATAATTTACATAAAAAGATCAGCTTTAACATGCAAGTCACAATTTTCATAAAAAGATCAACTTTAACATTCCAAGTCACAATTTACACAAAAAGATCAACTTTAACATGCCAAGTCACAATTTACACAAAAAGATCAACTTTAACATGCCAAGTCACAATTTACATAAAAAGATCAACTTTAACATGCCAAGTCACTATTTGCATCAAATTTAATACACCAATTCACGGTTTACATAAAACAAACATGCCAAATCATATTTTACTCATAAAGAACAGCTTAAGTAATTCAACATGCTAAGTCACAATTTACACAAAAAGATCAACTTTAACATGCCAAGTCACAATTTGCACAAAAAGATCAACTTTAACATGCAAAGTCACAATTTACACAAACTATCAGCTTTAACACGCCGAGTCACTATTTGCATCAAATTTAATACACCAAGTCACGGTTTACATAAAAGCAAACATGCAAACTCATATCTTACTCATAAAGAACAGCTCTAGTAATTCAACATGCCAAGTCACAATTTACACAAAAAGAACAGGTTTGACATGCCAAGTCGCAATTTACACAAAAGATCGACATTTGGATGCCAACTCACAATTAAACAAACAAATGAAGTAAACATGTCAAGTCCCGATTTACACAAAAAGATCAACTTTAACATGAAAAGACACAATTTACAAAAAAAATAAAATCAATTTTAACATGACAAATTACAATTTACAAAAAAGAGATCAACTTTATCATAACAATTCACGATTTATATAAAAGGACCATCTTAAACAAACATACCAAGTCACATCTTACACAAACAGATGTACTTAAAGATGCCAAGTCATGATACACAAATAAAAGATCAACTTTAAAAACAAAGTCATAATTGACATAAAAAGATCAGTTTCAACAAGCCAAGTCACGTTTTGCACATAAAGAACAGCTTTAACAAACAAAGTCGCAATTTACACGAATAATCGACATCAGTATGCCAACTCATAATTTAAATAAAAAGATCAAATTAAGCATGTCAAGTCACAATTTACCATGAATTATCAATTTTGAGATGCCAAGTCGTAATTTACACTAAAAATTTACTTTTTTTATATGCCAAGTCACAAATAACACAAAATTTTCAATTCTAAAATGCCAATTCACAAGTTGGTCTGATATTGCATCCACTAATCTGCGCTTTTTGAGACATAAATTTCCAGAAAGGAATTAGTATTGGAAATGAGAAATATGTCCATTCTGTATAATATAAGGCCTAGTTAGTATCTTATATTGAAAAGGGACTTTCAGTTATGTTACAAATAGGACTTTCAATAATGAGACAAATAGGACTTTCAGTAATGCGACGAATGGCACTTTCAGTAATGCGACAAATGGGACTATCAGTAATGTTACAAATGGGACTATCACTAATGTTACAAATGGGACTTTCAGTAATGAGACAAATAGGACTTTCAGTAATGCGACAAATGGCACTTTCAGTAATGCGACAAATGGGACTTTCAGTAATGTGACAAATAGGACTATCAGTAATGTGACAAATGGGACTTTCAGTAATGTGACAAATGGGACTTTCAGTAATGCGACAAATGGCACTTTCAGGAATGCGACAAATGGGACTATCAGTAATGTGACAAATGGAACTATCAGTAATGTGACAAATGGGAATTTCATTACTGAGACAAATAGGACTTTAAGTAATATGACAAATGTGACTTTCAGTTATTTGGCAAATGTCTATTTCAGTAATGCGACAAATGGGACTTTCAGTAATGTGACAAATGGGACTTTCAGTAATGTGACAAATGGGACTTTCAGTAATGTCATAAATGGGATTTTAAGTAATGTGACAAATTGGACTTTCAGTAATGTGAAAAATGGGATTTTCAGTTATGTGACAAATGGGACTATCAGTAATGTGACAAATGGGACTTTCAGTAATGCGGCAAATGGCATTTTCAGTAATGTGATAAATGGGATTTTCAGTAATGTGATACATGAGATTTTCAGTAATGTGACAAATGGGACTATCAGTAATGTGACAAATTGGACTATCAGTAATGTGACAAATAGGATTTTCAGTAATGTGACAAATGGGACTTTCAGTAATGTGGCAAATTGGACTTTCAGTAATGTGACAAATGGCACTTTCAGTAATGTGACAAATAGGACTATTAGTAATGTGATAAATGGGACTTTCAGTTATGTGACAATGTGACAAATCAAATGGTACTTTCAGTAATGCTATAAATAGGACTTTCAGTTATGTGACTTACAGTAATGTGACAAATAGAGATTTCAGTTATGTTACAAATGACACTTTCAGTATTGTGATAAACTATACTTTTAGAAATTTTTCGACTTTCGGTAGTGTGACAAATTGGACTATTAGAAATGTGACACATGGGACTTTCAGTAATGCGAAAAATGATATTTCAGATATTTGATAAATAAGATTTTCAGTAATGTGACAAATTGGAATTTTAGAAACGGATTTTTCGGAAATGCGACAAATGGAACTTTTAGCAATTGGGCTTTTTTTAGAAATGGGACTTTAAGTAATGCGACAAATTGGATTTTCAGTAATGTAATTATTGGGACTTTTAGAAATGAGACTTTCAGTAATGTGACAAACTGGACTTTCAGTAATGTGACAAATGGGTATTTTAGAAATGGGAATTTCAGTAATACGACAGTAAGACATACTTTAAGTGAAACAAATATCCAGTATAGTTTACACCACTTCCATTTATACTCATTGGAATTATTCCTGTTTTGCGTTTTCTTGAAGTAATGCTTTCACAAAATCTCGTGCTTGCACGAGTGAATGTTCCCACGCCACTTTTACAAAATTGCGTGCTTGTACGCCTTAATGCTCCGTTCTGATGCAGAGTGCTTTCAGCACTTTGATGAAGACTTTGTACAAACTCAGTAACTTCTCTCATTCTTTCAACACTCCATTTATCAATGGCGACATTGCGCTCTTTTATTTCTTTCATTTTTTTTCTTCTTCAAACCTTATCCCTGCATTCTAGATTTTTATATACGAATTAATTATTCAAAATATTCTAAATCCGTTATTTATGACTTAAGGAGCCTTTGACCATAGCTTCAACCACTTCAGGTGATATGCTAGTAATGAGTCGGATTTTCATACAAAATATAGAGATAATTCTTGTAAGATCGATGCCCCATTACAACGGCTTACTGGATATGTTGTTTTACTTTCTACTTAACAACAAATGATTTTAAAACAATCTCACACTTTTCTCCTGTACGTTTTGATAGTAGCCGTATCAGCGAAGTCAAAACATGATCCAAAATCTTTATCGTGGCTAAAATAAATCGCCAGATATGTTTGTTTTGCGATTTTCACACGATCTTCATTTATTGATAATCTATATATCGGTTTCTAAGTTACATAAAATTTGACTTAAATCTATCAAGAAGGTTAAACAAGATCATGCAATCAATGCACGATGGTAACTTTTAGTCACTTGTGATCTGTGAAGATGTTTTTTTTTGTTTTTGTTTTGATTTTGTTATGTGATTCTTTTGCACGTTTTCGTATGCAATTTTTTTTCGATTTTGCTACGTAAGCTATATACGGTCTAAGCAATAAGTATAAGCTATACGTATACATCGTGTAGTTAA